CGAAAAGAAATGAGTCTCAGAGTATCTATATTTATTTTCTTGATACCGAAGAAGAAAAGGTTGAAGGTGTTGCCTTCGAATAGAGTTACGGAATGGGAGCTTCAGCCTAGCTGGTTACAGGAGCAGCATTTGGAAACCCAAAGTCTTGCACGTTCACATTATCTGACAGCTAAGTTCTTTTCCGGCTAAGAGAACAGACCTGAAGACTGGATGTCGTACTTGGAAGTGTGTAGTTACCTTGATGTAGTTATGGAAATGTGACGTCATATTCGACTATTACTAGTACAGTACAACATACAGTGGCGCAGAGCCAGTCAGGTGACTTGTGTAGATAGAGAGTGTATCAACGGTCCCCATTCCCCAGGGAAAAAAAAAACGAAAAAAGGCGGTTAGAACGCCCGGAGAGAAAGAGATCATCGTCAACGCCTTCCGATCATTTACTCTCATGTTCGGAAAATGATGGCGTCAAGTCATGTCGTCGTCAGCCCAGTAGAGCTAGGAAGAAACAAAACCACGAAGAAAACAAATGACAGAATGAAGGAGATGGAAAAGACTGGAATAACACGCAAACGCCATGCATAAAAAACCGATTCGCCTGTTCACCCATGTTGACCGAAAGAAAAATGAGAAATAAGTTTAGAGATCGTGAATGGTGGGGAGTACCAGCAATAATGAAAGCCAGCTTAGCATTGTATCTGCACACCACCGGGGTATTAGTTTGAGGCAAGGACTAGTAGTTTGCATAGCCGTCCAAGCGATCTGGATCATTGAGATCAGAGGGCTCGGGCAAAACAAAGTCGGAGGCAAGCCCAGTTTCGACAAAGATCGAGGCATGCTTGAAACGACGATCCGAATACTTTTCAAATATGGCGGCGTGGTGGCGGCGAGGGTTCTCACAGCATTCCATCATTGTGACGAGTACTGGAATCAGCTGGGAATAAAGATAACCACTGTAAAATGCGTGTGCCGGTGTCTGATTTTGAATGTTAGCAATATGATAATTGAATGAGTTGGAGAAGAAAACGTACCCAGTTGCCCTTGTTAAGCAGCATGCGAGACAGGCAATGGGCTCCAGCAGCAATAAAGCTAGGGGGAGTGCAGACAAAGCGCTCATCCATAATAGCCAGCTCAAGGAAGTATTTGGCAACAGTACGAGTTTCAAGGTCGTATTCATCAGCCTTGCTAATGCGGCGAAGGAAACTCATAGGGCCAGGCCATCCAAGATCAAAGTCGAGGATGGTGAGCATGAACCGTTCTGCCTTCAGAATCTCGTCGACGGAATATCCACCGTCAACCATGTAAACGATCTCTTGCACAGACGGGGCTGTAATCTCCTCGAATTTTGCAGCAATGAAGATTGCTGTCGCCCCAACAAGCTGCAATTTGCCCATAGAAACTACCTTGTACGACAGGAAACGGTCGATGTAGTTGACCGTGAGGAACAGAGTTTCAGGGAGCAAGTTAAAGCGCCCATGAACTTGAACAAGCCAGTCCATCAAAACCGCGCGCATGGACCACTGGAGTTCGCTTTGACGGGCCATGTAATCGGGAACCGGAAGCATCTCGATCTACAGACATGGTTAGTTCAAGCTGGTTATCAGGCATTGGAAGAGTAAAACGTACCTCTTTCTTTCTTAGATGAAGGAAAATTTCGTCGCCATACTCCGCGACCATGGTCGTATCTAAAAGCTCCTCCTCAATATCTTCTGGTGTCTGTTCGCTTTCGACGATGTCTTTCGCCCGGAACATCTCACGAGTGGTCACATTGCTCATGCACGGATAAATGACGGTGGTTCCGTCGGTGTTATCCCCACGGAAGGAGTAGAAGGGTGCAACATGGTACTCGGTATCATCCCCATCCCATTCCTCGGGCTCAGATACCGCCGGCACGGGTTCCTTGACGTATGTGTATGTGTACTCTTTCAGATCTTCGGTCTCGGAAACGGTGGCATCAGACTCCACGAGGCTGGCGGTATCAACGTTCAGCACGTTTGAAGGCTGCACTACAATACTATTCAAATGACGCCCTTTCTCCACTCCCTTGTGGCTGGTCTTGGCATCTGTGTCTGTGTTGGTTTCCTTGGATGCAGTTTTCTCGGGAACGGTATGCAATTGGTCTTTGAATACGGCGTTGTTTCGCTTCGATTTATACGCCGGTTGGGCCTTACCGGCGGGGTTCATAGGCTTTGTTGTGGCAACGCTTTCAATAACACCCTTAGTTCCTGCCAAGGTCATGCGACGTTGGGCTGGCTGGGACAGTCCAGGAGCCTTAACCTCAATTAGAGCAGGCTTTCCACCAACGGCAGAGTCATCCCGACTAGCTCGGTTCATATCCTTGGTGTTGCTAACATCGACAAATGCGCGTCGGCCAGCATTGTTCTGGGCCATCATACTCAGAGCGGGGCTCGATTTGTTGCGCTGGTGGATGACCTTATGATTTTGATGCAGAGACGAAGGGGGCACGTTCTCATCCCCAACGACTCGGAAGCGCTGTGGCTGTAACATCAGTTAGCATCAATATCTCCAAGTTCTCCAAGTGTGGTTAAGGATGAAGCAACTCTAGACCAAAAGTGGGCGAATACACGACAATGCGACAACGCAGCGCCGCTTTACGCGATTGACGCGTAGGTACAGAAGAATCGGGCAAACCAGACCATAAACATAGAGCTGACTTACCTTTGCATCCATGATCGCGAACAATGAAGTTGCAAGACGTGAGTGTCGAGTCTACCTTGAAGTTGGTAGAGAGATGTTGTTTACTTTTTGCTCAGTTGGGGGAGCGGAGTTGCCCGGCGTGATTGGCCAGCCCAGGCAAAATAAACAGTCGTTAGGACCCGCTCACTCGTTCCTTCCCGATCTAGCCCAGTTTGTCACTTGAACGTTACCTAGGCAGAATAGGTAACTTTATAGAACTGGCTGAACAAATGAATGAGCGAGAATGGAAGTGACAACCGTGAAGAAGGGAGGGTTGTCCCTTGTTCCTAAAGATGTGCCTTGTTGACAATGCACGCTATTCCTAAATTGGAGGTTACGGTGGCGCACGCCATCCTACTGTGCAAACTGCCCTGCGACTGTTATGCACGCCTGTGTCATCATATGCTAGGCTCAAAGGTTATGGAAATTTTGATTAAATAATACAGAGAACATCGAAGGAAAGATCTGAGTTTATTTTACCTTTATTTGAGCCCAATTTGCCGGTTTCTCAGTCGAATGTCTAGACTAGATAGGTCTATCAACCTATAGTTATTGAAGGCAAATTTGCAAGATAAATACGATGGTACCTCTAACTAGCTTCTAGGGTGTCAATTTTATACATTGTTCATTATTCTAGTGAGAATATGTACATTGTACTCATGACCTTGTCAAATTGATATCAACCTTTCAAGGTTCCATGGTTACAACTTCCCGAGGTCGAGGACTCGGGACGTTGATAGAATGTTAAATGTTTGTTCTGTTTGTGTATAGTTTGCATTGTTTGGTACATCTTTGACGTCATTAACCTTATCGGCGCGTCTCCTGCGACGTCTGTCGAACATCGTTTTTGATTAAAGAACTACCAAAACAAGATTAGAGATTACCAAAAGTTATCTCCAAGTACATTTAATAGTAATGCATAGTTATCGGCGATAATATCCCAAAATAATTCATGTTTGCGAGTACAATCGCCATTTTATATCATAATCTAGATCTGACGCGCTATCTACACGAGACCACGTGAGAGCTACACCGCCGTCACAAGAGGTGGGACACCCGGAATCAAGCGGTTCCTGTTTGGCAGCTTTGTGCTCAACCGAAACCCACTCCTATCATTGCGACGGTCGTCGGCTTTTCCAGTCTCGCCAAGTGATGCGGGGCTTCAGATCAGAGGCAATGGGCAGTTTCGGAGTAAATTATAGACAGTAGCCACGTTCTCGGATCCGATGATCTTCATCGTCAACATATCCAAAGGACCTTTTGCGCCCAGTCTCTCAGCATCACCGCCTGACTCCACCAAGCAGAAATGTTCCCCCCTTTTCATCGCCTATTTTCTTGAGAAATCACTAAAACTGTGCAATCACGGATTTGCGATGTCCCGATCTCACTTTTGTAGCCAGGTTTCAAGGAGAAAGGAATGATCTGTAACGCCGATGCGGGATTCCCTTTTTAACCTTCTTACATAGGTCCGAGGAGGGGTAAATCCATGTTGCAGATCATGCGAGACAACTCCAGAGAGTCATGCGATATTATGAAAGGGAATATTCTGGGGATTGAAACGGTTTGGTTATTTCGGTGATATCCTTTCGGTTGAGTATAAATATCTAGGTCCGGTCCTCGAGGCGGATCAACAAAACGTCCATAAACCACCCTACCCTAGCGATTTTGCTATTGAACCACATTATAAGTGTCGCGATATCTTGTATTTTCCAATTCGCATAGTAAATGAGCAATGCGACAAGGGTGATGGTGGGAAAATGACTGGACAATGTCAATTCTGTCCAAGCGCACACCTCCACAACAGACCAAAAAAAGGTATGGGTTGCTACGTGGTCACGCTAGGAACTAGCTGCAAGCCCATAAATCTATTGGGCGCTATTCCTTTATCTTATTTTACACCCTTAGCCCTCGATACCCTAGATAGTTACTTGTAGCGATAGTTAGAGGTACCCAAGCTACTTGCTTTGTGTGAAGCGCTGCATCCTCCCCTCCCCAACAGTCTTAGGTAGCCCACACTCGCTTACACTTCATCCCTCAAGACTCAAAGATCGGATTATATTCTCAATTTCGTACATAATATACAAGAAGGAGGGTTAGACAAAGTGTTCCGTCACTCGGCGCAATGGCATCCGGCTTGCGACAGCTTTTGCGCCTTTGCGAAAAGATACAGCATTGGGATGGCTTCACACATAGTTATTTTTTTCGATGCATAGGATAGTTGCAAATCAAATGAAGATTTTATATATATTCATTAATGCCATGGGATGTGATGGCTGCATCGATGGGCGCCGGAAGCGCAAATCGCCATGTCACCGACTCAGGCAGGCCGTTTTCTCGCTTTAGGTGAAACCATCGTACGCACCCACCTCAACCTTCTTCCTTCCATCCAACAACCCCTCGAACAAATCGCCATCAGCGCTGTCAACAGTATTGGGTATGTGTCTCTACTCTCGTTCGATCTCACTTTTCACTCCCCTGACCCCGTTTTAATCCTGGAGATGCCACCACTGACATAGCCTCAGCTCTTCGTAGAATTGACAATCCCCTCTCGACCTCGACCGAACCCATCCTTCGACCCTTCGCCCTGTCTTGGACAATCCAGGTATCTGCGATACTGGAAGTCTCTGTTTGAGTTGAATTAGGTGTGTTCAAATATCTCTCCATTCTTCTCCGGGTCATCTCGCTTGCTTCCCCCAAGCCCGCCTCCAAGGTCGGCCGGACTCGGTTAGCGACACATCCATCCATCATCTTCCAAGACAAAAGCCATCCTTATTGTATATTCGAGCATTTGGAACCCCATTGTGTTAATCTCTATGGTCTGTTTTCCTTCAGGTTGCCCACATTTACCCTTCTGAGTCGCTTCCGGCTCTTGCGACTGCAGATTCCCCTCCCACCTCCATCGAAGGTTTTGCTTCGACGGTTTCTATATTTCTATATTTCTATACATCAAGACCGGGGGTGGTCCATCCACCAGCCTGATCGTTCGGATTCAACAATTGTGGTAGGTTTGATGGATTCTTCCCTCTACACCTGCCCTTCCTCTGTGTCTTGCCATGGATCACATTCCCGCCCTCTACGGCACACAAGCAGTGGGTTGATGCAGAATTTGGTATAGCAGTGGAGTATTACTCAATTTGGAACACTTTGATATGCAACCGGTTCAGCATGAAGGGCTTTCTGGCCTGGTCGAGCAGCCGGGTCTGGCAGACTCTGCCAATGTAGCTCGAGACCTGTCGCTGAAAGGCCCAGCACCCAAGAACATCGCCTTTGAGTTACTTCTTGATGAGAACTCCAAAGTCCGAGCTCGTATTCCGATGCGCGTTCAAATCTATCCCCATGATACCACGGACTCGATCGTCACAACGGTCAAAAATTTCTATGGAATATATGACGGTACTGCCAGTGGGGTCAGCTTCGAGGATGAACATGGGACCACCCTCATCGCAAGGTACGAGAATCTCAAGAACAATCGGACTGTATACGTGCGAGTCATTCCCATTCAACCATATGGGGATCACTTCTATAACGGGTTCAATGTCGAGCCTCGCAAGCGACCCAGTCTGGCGGAGCCTTTCCAGATGTTAGATGGAACGGCGCCGGCGTTAGATCAGCCAGGACGGCCATCCTCTCGGCTTGCGAGAAAGCGCAGCACCTCTCCGTCGAACCGGAGTCTCCGCAGCGCTTCTCAGCACAAGCCTCCCTCCCGCGCGGGCAACAAAAGCCGGGCCTCGAGCACCCATGGAGCTTTCCATGACGATGATGACTACAGCGATACCGAGAGCGCTTATGCTCGCAGGGCTCGCAATGAGCTCTTTGCTAGCTCGGATATCAGCATGGAGAATATACTACAAGATGGTCGTCGCAAACGACCCAAGTTCGATAGCTCTGTGAGTGACTCATACGAGAGGGTTTTTCTCTATCAAAGACTGTCGTTAATCAATATGTTCCCCTTAGGAGCTCCCCCTGTTTGTTCCTCCCCAAGTGCCCCTTACTACCTCCACTTCTTCCATCTCTCCCCAGCGTCGATCGATTGGCCAGGATGGCGCTGGGTCGCCTTTCGCACGCCCACCGCAACCCCCGTATAGTTATCAACATGCGCTTCCATCGCCGCAGAGCTATGGCCACAGCGAATATGGTGTCCATTCGGGGCGCAATACGATTTATGCGACTCCCGTGGTTCCAGACCATGGAAATCGCATGCGCGACACGGGAGCCTATAACAGCTCGGCTAGCCGAGTGAGTGGTCCAGGTATATTGCCCACACCTGACCCCACTATTGCAAGCTGCATCTCCGATGAGGATGTGGCGATGCAATTGATACGTTTGGGCGATGCATCCAATTTCTCTCACGGACGCACCTCTGCCTCGACATTGGACGATGCTTTCAGTGGTGCCGCTGACGCTGCCTCATCCACTGGTGCTACAAGCGACGGGGAAGACTTTAGCGAGGACGAGGACGACTTGCCAGCTCGTCGCCAGAGGTTGGACTCAAGCCCAATGCTGCCGCCGGGAACCATCAAGCGCCACCTCAAGGGCCTGGATGACATCCTGCCCAGCGCCGATAGCAGCGACCACAGCTCGGATGGTGCAGATGATGGTATCAAAAGTGAAGCGGAGGAGGATATCCTTTACAAGGAGTTTGCACCTAAGGCAAAGAAGCCGAAAAGCCGCCCCACATCTTTCAAGGTTCGCAGCCAGAAGCCTGCGCCTGCGAAATTGAACAAAAGCAAGAATGCTATGCCCGCTCCTCGCAAATCATCCGAGAAGTCGGCTGCGCCTGTTCCACCTCTCAGCCCGGCGTCTTCCCGAAAGGTCTCGGGGGGCTCAGTCAACTTCCAGCACCAGCTCGGTGCGGATGAGGAAGATCTTTCTACCAAGCCTCGCTGTCAGCGATGCCGCAAGAGCAAGAAAGGCTGTGATCGTCAGCGCCCCTGTGGACGTTGCAAGGATGCAGGCATTGGAATTGACGGCTGTCTCAGTGAGGATGAGGGCAATGGTCGCAAAGGGCGTTACGGTCGTCATATGGGTGTCCCCGTGAAGAAGAACGGGGAAGAAATGGATGAAGACGAGGAGGAGTTTTCATTAACGCCTGCGACCCCTCCCGTCTCTTCGTCTATAGCAGACAAGAATAAGAAGCGGAAGCGCTAGTGGAGCTGCAGGTTGCAATTGCCCCCGCTATCTCTAAGCGCCGAACTGTTTCGCACCTCCAATCTTCTTCGTGACCATGGGGTCTCTCATTCATCTTACCATCCTCACTATGGGCCAATCTCATCCACCCTCACTCTCTCATTTCGCCTTCTTCTGGCCAGCGCCAGAGACAGTCCTTATACTAGCATCATCATTTGCGCTTCTCACTACACATTCCCTTCTCTGGTTACAAGCCATGCTTCCTCCATTGTACACTGCCAAGCGGTTGATCTATTGTTGTTGTGTCTCTTCGGCGTCTTAGTGTTTCTGTGGCTATATGCTTCTTGTCACATCCACTCGCTCATTCGGAATCAATGCTACTGGGTTATTTATCATTGTCTATGTCGGTTTCATGTGTGTGGTGTACGGATCAGTAGCGGAAGCATTATATACTTCCGAGGGACGGCGAGGTCAAAGCGTGACAAGTTGTAGAACATATGGCCGATCTCGACCTATTTCGTCTTCCGGATAGTTAGGGAGTCAATGAAAGGGTTTCAAATTTTTATTTTGCACTTCAGTCTTCCGACGTTCCATTTAGTCGTCTCATCATGGCTTAAGTTACATAGAGTCACATGACAAGGGCGGTGTGATTGGCCCCGCAACTTTTTTAAAGAGCTTAACTTTCTCGAACCTCAAAACGCTTGCATTCTTTTGCCAAACGGCGTGTTGCTTATTTCTAGTTGCATTTTCGCTTTTAACGGGAACATAATTTAGGTATACCAACGCTGAGACTGCATGTAACGCGGTGCGCAAACCAGCCCCTCTACACGAACTTTTCTCCAACCGCCCAGCAAGCCGCATTCAGCGCCTTGTCTGAAAAGCGACCACAATGCCTCCCAAAGCTGCCTCTCGTGGAAGCGCCCGTGGAGGGGCCGCCAACCGCGGTGCTCGAACCGACACAACTACTCCTACTCCCGCTGGCGGGGACACTGCGCAAAATGCTCCCACGGCAACTGGCGCGCCCGGTCCTGCGAGTCGAGCCTCAGTACAACGGCTTCAATCACTGAACAAACGCACGCCCTCCGGCAGTATCGCGCCCAGCAGTCGGCCTCCATCCGCGCTTGGTGGTGAGCCGGCCAAACCAGTCATGAAACACAAACCGAAGGCCGTTGGACGTCGCAGCAAGCAGGAGCGAGATGAGATAGAGAGACTTGAACAAGAACGATACAACGAGCGTCTGAAGGAGGCTGCCGCTATCCAACGTGGCCGTGGCGGTACTGCTCGTCGTGCTGGGTTCCGTGGCCGTGGTGGACCTATGGCTATGGGCATGAGTGGATTTGGTGGCCGAGGCGGGAAACGAGGCCGTGGTGGTTACGGCGGCGGAAGTGGAGGTGGTTATGGAGGAAGCGCAGGTGGTGCAGGCTCGGGATACAATCGGTCTGGTCTTACTGGGGTCAACCGTGGGCGCGCATATGACTCTTCAGACGACGAAGAGAATGCACTCCGTGTCAGCATCGATCATATCAACCTCGATAGCGACGAGGAGGATTGGGATACGCCGAAGGATTTCAAGGGCAAACAACCTAGCAGGTCGAGCGGGGAACGCGGACTTCGCCCTGTTCGTGTTGAGCGACATGAACACGAGGAAAGAGTCATCAGCGTCAACATGGAATCTAGCACCAGCAGAACCGCCGACCTCCGCAAAAAAGCAGAGAAGGAGAAAGCAGCGAAGGATGTCGGCCGTACACCTACCAAGGTTAAACCCGAACCCCGAGACGACGATACAACTATGCCGGATGCTATTCCACATGCAGATGACGATGACCTCCTACCAGAGCATAATGTTCGTGTGCGCTCGGCTCAGAGCATGAGCCCAACAAAGAGGAGCACAACAGAATTACGATCGACTCAACCCACGCCTGAGCCCGAAATCCCAGATCCACGCAGCCTACTTCACACTAAGGAGGAAATCGACGAATATGACCGACACATGGAAGATTTGGCTATAATTAAGGATCTTCTTGTTCCCAAGGTGTCGAAGAATGCCACCACAGAAGCAGAAACTACCGAAGGAGCTGCCGAAGGTAAACCCGCGGCAGTGGAAGGACAGGAAGGTGACCAACCGCGCGAAGAAAAGGAAGAAGAACAGGAAGACGACAACCCTCTACATGGCCAGATGTTCCTCATGCAATTCCCACCGATGACCCCCTACCTCAGAGTCGCCGGTTCTTCCCAAGACAATCAACACCAAGCTGCAGCAACCGCACCTCCGCCGAACGAGATCAAGCGTGAAGCAGGCGACGACGTGGAAATCGTGGGCAGCACCCAAGCAACCGAATTAAAAGAGAACAGTGTCATCACAGCCGGCCATCCATGGTCTTTGCCCACAGGCCGTGTCGGCAAATTGAATGTACACCAGTCCGGCCGTGTGACCCTAGATTGGGGTGGAATCAGTATGGAGTTGGATCGTGGAGCACCGGTTGGTTTCGTCCAGGAAGCCGTCATCTTGTCGAAGGTGTCACCGGAGTCGGAAGAAGACATACCAAAACATGTTTGGTCTATGGGCCAATTATCTGGCAAGTTCACAGTCACGCCGAACTGGGATGAGATGCTTTGATACCTCTACAAGGCGTCTTATGATGAATGGAAAAGAAATTTGCAAACTTACTGCAGCAATTATCTTGGTTGTTAACTTGACAATCACTAAAAATAGTTAGACTGGGGTAAAGTTTCCCTTTTCCTCCTCAAGGATTCATCCCATCTGTAATCACGTGACCATTTTTATATGTATGTGCAGGATTGCGATAGAGATAGTTAGTTGTCTCTGCCCGTTCTTTCTCTCCCAGTCTCTCTTCGTAGCTAAGAGAAAAATACAACTGTATTGCACGCTATATTCCTACTTTTGTGTGACTTTACAATGGCTGCGGACCAGCTTAGTAATTTCACCAAAAGTGCCAAGGCCTAGTTAACTATCGCGCAAGCTGCTCCGTACACGAACTTTATTTGCGCGTGTCGAATTCAGAGCATTTGACCATTACATCCTCCATGCCCAATAGCAACTACGGTCGAGCACAAGCGACAATTCGGCCAATCCAACTACTCACATTCCCTCTACAATGCCTGCATAGACCAAATCAAGTGTCTCCGGTGCTACACGAGTGACGAACCTTCGCCATGTCGTTGCGTCCTCTCGGATATCAATGCAACCTACCCTATGCGCAATTCTTCCGCAATGGACTGCAAACAAAACAAAATATCACACAACACCTGAGATCCTTTTCACAATTGCGCGACACGCATTGCGCACATCGCTGGTCCGCGACATTTCCACACCATGCCAACAAAGCTTCTTTTTCGCTACGGAGCTTGCTCGGTGATCTTTTGAGACCTGCACACACTATCCGGGGCCAGGGCAAGGGATTGTGGGCTCAACAATCTCGCTATGAGAGCTCTGCGGCCAAAGAACCAGAACTCTGCGCACACTGCGGTGGAAAAACCATCCCCAAGGCTAGAAAACATGTCGAGCCTGGCAACCCTTCCAGCGGCTGGTATTGCAAACCCTGTGTTCGGAACATCCGTGCCCATGGCCATCTGCCAAATGAGGAGCAGCTTGTAGGGATCCATCGGCGGAGGTTGATCAGGGCGAGTGGAGAGGCAAGCAAAACAAGCCCATGCGGGCACTGCGGCCAGATGACGGCTCCGAGAAGCAGCCGTAAATTCATTGATGCGAACAACCCTTCTGCTGGGTTTCACTGTCGGACATGCGTTCGGCATGTCAATCATCACGGTACCCTCCCAACCGAGTTAGATCTCGCAGCGTTCCAGTACCGCAAACAGATGCGGAGTAGGCGTCCTCCTACTGTCGCCTCGAAAAATAATAAGTCAGTTACTTCGACTGGAGAATCAGCGGGGGCCCGCAAACATTCCAAGTCTCCCAAACAGATGAAACAGAGCCGCGGCGAATACCCCTGCATGCACTGCGGTGACAAGACCATCTCTAGCAGCAAACGTAGGCTCGTTGAGCCTCAGAATCCCGCGGCAGGTTACTACTGCCAGCCATGTACGCGGTCTCTACTTGAAACGGACGCCTTGCCAAGCACCGTCAAAATTGCAGCGCTCAGGAAGCTCAGAGCGACCCGTATGCAAAGCAATCCACGAGTTTTGAAAAGCCCTTGTGTCCACTGCGGTGAGATCACCGCCCCCAGCAGCAAGCGCCGGCTAGTTGAAGCGAAGAACGCTCAATCCGGGTATTACTGCCGCGCCTGTGCGGACTGTTTAATGGAAACCAATTCCCTGCCTAGCGACATACGCCTTGCAGTTCGCAGAGCGCGAGAGCAGGTCAGGCTGAAAAACTTGCAAGCCAGTCTATCTAAAGAATCGCAGTCCCCGGTGTCTCCGCAGGACGGAGAAGCTACACCAACGGATATGCTCACGGACAATACCGCAAAGACTTGCGCGCACTGCAAAACCGAAGAGAACACGTCGGTCCACTGAACCCGGATCTGTTTTTGTGTGTGGAGCTTATCTCAACGGCTTGTTTTTGAGGCTGGGGGTACTTTTGCGCAGAGACAGCATGAGAAAAAGTCCGGGCTCGGATTAGAGCGGATATCAAGGCTGATCAACGGTTGGATTGCTGCCAGTGCACCGCGTGCTCAAATCGATGGCCATCCTTTGATCTGGTCGATGCCAAGCGCAAGGGTCTTAATATCTTGATTTTGGTATCACCCATAAATGCGCGTCGTCATCTTGCCTGCGGGGTGTGCTCGTCTATTCGCCCGGACTTTGCGCCTGCGTTGACGATCCTAAGTGGCGCTGTCCGTTAAGCCTCGGGATGCCTTGAGCTATAATTAGAACTTGACGGAACAAGATGGGATTTTTATTGTATGTACAGGGTGAACATGTATGCTATAGATGCATATATCAATATGAATCTGGAATTATTGAATCACCCTAACAGCAGCGCATCCAGAGGATATCCCGACTAAAATAAAGAATAATAAAGAATAAATAAACACTTTGGATAGCTTCAGACCTGGGAAACTGGGTAACCAATCAGAGCCCGCAGAATTCAGGGACACACCCCCACTCCTGGACGGCCCAGGGACACAGGGCCAAAGAAAGCCAAAGAGCGGCTCGGCCAATCAGAGCCTCGGCCTGACTGGCTTCATTTTGTTTTTCCCTTAATTTCCCTCCCCCCCCCTGGGCTGTTTCGGCTTTTTGGGTTCTTGTCCTTCTTCGTTCTCTCTTTCAATCCTCCTCTACGGCTAAGAGTGAGTTGGGTTCTGACAATTGAAAGAGTAAAGACGAAATACCCCGGATACTCCCCTCTTCCGTGTTTGGCCCCCTATTCCCCCGGTTGCCTGACTGCGACAATTCAACACACCCACTCGGACAGTGTCGGACCTGAGTGGCATGCTTTGAGATCCTCGCAACTTATACCTTGTATTCATGAAGAGATTCATCTGAGTCAATATCGTCACTTCCAACCTCTTCTCCACCTACATCTGCAGCACTGTTGCCTTGCCAACTCCAGACCCCCCGATCCCCACGACCCGCACCAGTCAGCTTGGCGTTGCTTGTCCTCCATAGGCAACAACGCAAAGCATTTGCGTGCCAGTCTATTTTCATATACTATACATCTATAATCTGCCACAATGAAACCATCCACCTTCCTGGTCTTCCTTGCCCCGGCCGCGGTGCTCGCCGGCTCACAACAACCCGCCGCAGGTGCCAGCCTCTCCTCCGACATTGCACACAATTCGCCCGCTGTCTCATTACCAGAACTCGCCCCGCGGGAACAGTTCGCACCATTCGCGGACCATGATCTGCCATCTGATGAGATGCGCTTGCTCGCTGCTCGCTATGTCCTTCGCGCGCGCAGTGAGGGTTCCCTCGGCCAGACCCCATGGATTGGCATGGCGATCGGATTGACCTTTACTGCTCTGGCGGCTGTCATGCTCGGGTGATTGTCGGCATGGACTGCTTTGAAACGAACCCTAGCTTGAGATTCTTCCGACTTTCGATCCATATACTTTTTTCTCCGCTTCGACTACTTCTTTTTCTCTTGACACGACACGTGAAACGCCGGGCACCGCTCGAACTCTGTTTATCTTTTACTCTGCTCGACATATTTCTGCGACCCTTCTTCTTTATCTTCATTTTCTTATGGTCTTTTGCAGCGAATTTTTACCATTTTGTCTATTTTTGCATCCATGGCCTTGTGTTCTGGCGTGGGATTGGATCTTTGAGCCCCCTTTTTTACCTATCGCATTCCCCGACTTGCTGAGTTACTCGGTACTGTTGGGAGTATAGAGTTACATGTTGTACGCATGTTGTACATGATACCTTTTTGATTCTAATGCAGATTCTCCCGTGTGTATGACCTAATTAGTATATATAGATATGGCCAATACGAACTGACTATACGTTTTTGCTTTTCTTCCTTTTCTTTCAGACAACATTTTTCTTAGTTTACGCCTTTCTCATGGCTAGACTCGGACTGGGGTGGCTTTCTTTGTTACTAGATGAGCCACCCATTACCGGGGCAAACGCAGAGTTCTCGGGAACTGTCATGTTGATATTTGGTTTTCCCTCGAATCTATCTTCAAATACCCTTAGAAAGAGAGATCTTTCGTTTTAATACAAGTGGGCATATACCCTCGCTACACTCGACTCCAAAGGCAACTATACTACGGAGTACAGCCCTAACTTTCGCCATGGCTTCGGACAAATATCCATCCTACGTACCGATGCCCTCGCTCCGCCACGAGCTAGGGCTGATGTTCGGCTTCTTATCTCTGTGTATAGTGGTTATGGGAGCATACGTTGCTCTCTGGAATGGTGAGTTCCTCTCCCACTCTCCTTTCCATCCTATATCGATGTAAAGATCAGCAAGACCGTCCGTGGTCATGTCAAACACGTACATACATACAACTTCAATGCGATTTACTTTAGCATAATACCTACACTACCCCTAACGACCAGCCCCAGTATCCCAAACCCGCCTAGACGCCCAAGACCTCGCCCGCCGCAAAGCCTTCCGCAGCAAAAACCCAACCCAACAACCCCTAGGAACAACAACCTCCATAACAGCAGGCCTCAAGGACACATCCACCCCAAACCCCAAAGCAGCCGTACAAGAAAAAATGCTCGACCGCGTCGGCATGCCCGAGAACCGCGCCGAGCTACCAGTCCACGGGATGGAGATGTACGCGGCCGGAAAGGGGAATGCGAGCACATCGCAGATCAGGAGTCTGCCTGGTCAGGCTATGCCGCTTAGTCCTGTTAGTCCTGTTAGTCCGCTTGGGAGTAGCGGGGTTGCGGGTAGGGATGCTAGTTCTGTTAGTCTGGTTGGAGGTGGGATTGCGCTTGAGTCTATTGTTGGGTGGCGTTGGAAGGGGGGAGGAGTTTGAGTCAGAGTCTTTTGCGCGTTGATGGGTTCCAGTCGGGCGAGTCCGGCGAGGAGATTTGGGGGTGGGATTGGTCCGCCTGTTGAGATTGGGCCTGCGCCTAGTAGGGAGTAAGGTGTTGTGCTGGGGTTTATGATGATGTTACATGTTATGTTGTATGGCAGCTAGCTAGGAGCAATTAGTATGACAAGGAGAACGCTACGAGAAGGAGATTGCAGACTAAGCCCACAATGAAAGAAAAGATTTGTAATCAGTCGATGAATGGATGTACCTTGAAAGAAGAAGAAATTCGGGATAGGGTTATGTGGGTCAGAAGTGTGAATAGCTTCAAATGATCCCAAAGGAGAAAAAAAGGAACCCAGAGGTTCTTCAACAGCAGCTAGCCTAGGGACAGTTTCCTCATTGGCATTGGACTAATATCACCCTGCTCGAGGAACAGAGCGCATCCCATCTGAGCCATGGGTGTTGGGAATTACAATATCTGCCTTGACCTTTCTATTTATACTCACTTTTGTTTATCGTTCCTTCCTCAGCAGAAACCCAGGACCGCTCTTGCCTGGAAGCAGCCCTTCCTGCCATTCCAACAGTTGTTGTACCTTCTAAGACTCCTGGTCTTCTACTGAGTCCCACGTCATGCCTAGTCTACTAAGCTTTCTGGAAGTATGGCGTAATGCTTTGGAGTAATTTTGATATTGTCTCCAAGTGGTATCCATATCAATTCGACTCATAGAGTTGACATTTTGAATCGTTCTGGGTATATTTTACATTAGATTACACCACCAGCCATCTATCCACACACAGGCTCGTCAAACCCACGCGTCCACAATAACGAACCCATGATAACCACTAAAAACCCAAGCGCGACAAGCACACTGGCACTTCCATACAAATACGCATGACGCCGATGAGACAGTCCTTTCAATTCAGCAACCCAGGTACTGATAGTGGTCGTGCTCCCGCAGAATCCATCCATAACACCCTGCAGCACCTGGCAACCTGTCAGAGCAGCAGGAACCACCGCCCCAAGACCACTGACATGCTGCAAGTCATAGCACATACCCTCGATGATAGTCCCAAAGATATTGACCGTAAACGTGCCGAGGGGGAAGGTCGGAATCCTGCCATTCAGGTGCAGCGAGACATAGAACCGAAGGAGACAGCCAAGCGGTGAAAAGACAATAGCGAACACCGCCCGGCCGCGCCACACATCCGGGCCATTATGTCGGTCTGGTGGCCAGATGGCTAGGAACACGGCCCCGAGCCAACATCCCCAGGCAAGCACAACCATAAGAGGGTCGAGGACTCGGCGTGTGAACGCTAAGGGCACAGTGGGTGTCACGCGTGTTAGAGCCAGGGCAAGATGCGCGCCGACGATAAGTGCCGACAGGCTCAGTGACACGGTGAGTATAATCACAGCGACCAGCGCCATAAAGCTATACCCACCATTACGGGAGGCAATATGAGATCCGGTTGGCAGCGATGGATCGGGGAGGGCATTTGCCAGGGCGAGGAAGACGTCCCGCATAAAGGACGAGAAGGAGGTGAAGCAGCCACAGAACCCGGTCGTCAGACCAATGTACAGAGGGATGGTCTTCTTCACAGCCATATGTTTCCGGCTCTTGACTTTGGGCTCAGTATCGACTGCATCTGCAGGTGCTTCTTTGGTTATTGTTTTGCCCCATTCTTCGCGGAATAACTGCTGGTCTTCGCTCAGGAAACCCATTACCAGGCTTCCGGCTACATTTGCCCATAACACCCCTGTTACGACAGGCGCGCCTGTATAGAATGTCAGAGCCTGTAGGCCTAGGCGGGCCAGTGTACCCCAGAGCGAGAAGAAGATTAGATAGGAGACGGTGTAGATGTGGGTTGCGTGTTTGGAGAGGGGCGGCGCAGCAGATGCAGGTTGTGGTACAGGTGCTGCGCGGTCACCCGAGTTTTGCCATGATTCATTTGCATTTGCCTGTTGGGCCTCTCTTGAAGGGTCATTGTTTTGAGAGGGGTTATCAACATCGGCAGTTGATGGCATTGCCGTTTCAGTGTTGAAGGGAGGATAAGGGGAAAAGTTTGCCAAGAACCGGAGACCGGAGATCAGGTGGAGTCCGATAAGATTGGCGGTCATTCGCAAAGTATATGAGGGGAAGAAGATAAAGAGGTGTGTCTTGTCTCCCTCCTCCTCCTCTTCTTCTTCTTCTCTCTCTCTCTCTCTTTCCTCTTTCCTCTTTCCTCTTTCCTCTTTATATACCCTCTATACTTCACCATGTCTCTCCCATCAAATGTCCACGTCTCCTCCCATCCCTGTCTACAAGCCAAGCTCTCCCTCATCCGCTCATCTTCCACCACCCCGCGTGAGACAAGAGGCTTGGTCCATGACATTGCCAATATCCTAGGCGTCGAAGCCTTCTCGGGGCTGAAGTTAGTCAAAACAGGAACGGTAAATAGATCCCCAAGACCGAGATCCATACCAGCATTGCGATCTCCTAACACTCATTCCCAGGACACCACGCCCCTCGGAATCGAGTATGAAACCCAGGGCATTGACCCATTAGACCTAGCTCTAGTGCCAATTCTCCGCTCTGGCCTAGGAATGGTTGATGGTGAGTGATTCTTCTATTCCGCATGATCCGCTCTAGCCAGCACTGCAACTGTAGCCCATGTTATTCCCTGCAATATGACCGTACTACTCTCCTATTCCCCAATTCCCATTCCTATATCCAATCCCAAACACCACAGTTGCAATTCCATTCGCATTTACAGCTTATCTCCTCCTTTCGTCATCCCCCCACTCCCCATCCTTATCCCCCACTCCTAACACGTCCACGGGTCCAAAACCCCGCTTACACAACCCCACAGCCCTAAACGACCTCCTCCCAACCTCAGTCCCAGTCTACCACCTGGGCCTGTTCCGCGAAAAGGTCTCTCTCCAACCCGTAGAATACTACAACAACCTCCCCTTCCACCGGTCGGAGCTGTCGCCGGCCTCGCCAGCTTCTCTGAACCCAACCACCAACACCGCAGCGGCAAGCCTGGCGGTGCTGCTAGATCCGGTTATCGCTACTGGTGCGACGGCCGAGGCGGCGATCCAATTGCTGCGCGATTGGGGTGTGAAGAAGGTTATTATGCTTAGCTTGCTTGCTTCGGAAGAGGGGGTTAAGCGTGCTGCGGGGACTTGGGGTGATGTTGAGGTTTGGGTCGGTGCTATTGATAAGGGTGTTGATGAGAAGGGCATGATCGTGCCTGGTATTGGTGATATTGGTGATCGCTTGTTTGTTGCTGTTGGAAAGTAGATTTGACTTTATCAGCAGTGAAGCATGGCCGAGGGTTTAGATACTACAGATGGTTATGTACCTATAACTACAACTACAACTTGGCTACAAATGATCAATACTACGAACTACAATTCAAGTCTACAATCTAGTGTTTAGGAAAGAGGTTGTCCCCGGCAGATAATTCATCGATAACGTATAGTACATGGAAATGGCATAAAACATGTGCAGGTGAAACAAATGCGAAAATTGTCAAAGCAATGCTGAGCGTTAAGAGCATGGAAAGCAAAAGACGGGGTAGAAGGCGCGCAGACAATTAACATCAAGTACAGCGGCTGGAAGCCAACCAAAGAAATAGAGGTAAATGGCAAGATATGAGAAAGAAAAAAAAAAGAAATCAACACGCACGCGAACGCATGAAATGTCAAAAGGTATCGAAAGCACGAAAATCAGATGGACGGAGGGCACGATTAGGGGTTAGTATGAACCATAAAGTCAAACTCCACGGAGTGCGAAAGTACACACAGGACCAGCCAGGTGTCGAAGACGGAAAGCAGAAACACCACACTGGACTCCCTGGTGTAATAAAAAGCAGGGGAAAAGCAAAAAAAAAGCAAAAAAAGCAAAAGACTAGGAACCACCGAGAGGGATATCAAAAGGCGAAGTATTCCAAAACAAGCCCAACACCCCGCCTGCCCACTGGCATGTCCAGTCCTAGTTCCGAAGTGTCCCAATGAAAGCGTCCAACAAATGAGAGTAAGAAATTGAAAACACAAATTTCAAGGAAAAGCAGATCGACTCAAACAGATTGAGGAGAAGAAATTTAGTATGCGGTGCCGACGCTAGCAAGCGACTTAGTTGGCACCGCATGAATAGGCTGATCCTTGCGAACACGGAGAGAATCTTCGTATCCGACCAGGGCCTGAGAGTGAAGCTTGAATGATTCGCCCATCAACTTGGTGATTCTGTAAAGCGGTTAGTTATTTGACCATAAGAGTAAATAGGGATGAAAACGTACCCCCAGACAACCACGCCGTCTAGGATGTTACCCCATACACGGGCGACAGTAGAGCTGAGTTTTCCGAAGGCGTCGATGGCATCGTCGTCAAACAGATTGCGGACCTTGTTGTAGAGGGCCAGTTCAGCCTCAGTTGCCGGCTCATCGTCATGTTCCAGACGGTAGAGCCAGAGGCTCAGAATGACCATCAGATCCAGGCCGCAGAGAGGGTTCTCAACACTCCAGTTGGTAGCGGATGTCTTGGCAACCCAATTGATGCCCTGAATAGCGGCAATCTCGATGCATTCGAAACATTGTTGGATAACTTTGTTCATCTCCTGCGAACGCTTGACCTTCTCACGAGCGACGGTCATCGCAGCCGCCACCTCATATGAGGAGTGGTACCGCATCGCCTCCTGGATGGATTTAAGGTCAACTTCCAGGCGGGCGCGGGTGTTGCGGTAGACCGCCATCGAGTTGAAGATCAAGGGGTGACCCTTCTGAGGGGTGCTAAGCGGGACCACGATCGTTTCCGGTTCGCACACCTCAAGGGAGTTCTCCCAGGTCTCGAGGGCCAGGCGCAGCTTGTACTCGGTAACTACATCTTGGAGCGCCTCAAAGCTGCGCTTGTGGCTCCAAACTTGCAAGAACAAGGCATTAATGAGAACACGAGTGGCGAAAGCACTGTAGCGGGTCTGTTCACCCTGGAAAAGGCAGTCGTGGGCCTCACGCACAGTCAAGGC